TTTTTCGGTTTAAACTGTATTTATAAGTAAACCCAGAGAAAAACCCCATAGTAAAATTAAGCATTAAAATATTTGAATATTACATTGTTTTTCAAAATATAAATTTACTTAAAGTAAACTAAAAACATGATAATGTCATGATTAACATAATTAATTGGTTTATCCAATAGGCTAAATCAGAACCGAAAATATTTATTTAAAAGTGCAAATATATTGATTCACCATGATTTTTCTCTGGGTGTATTTTTAGTTGGATTTTTGATAGCATTAATAGCAACATATTTGTGTAAAAAAAAGTCATTGCAGCCTTTAACCTTCTACAAATGAAAGTCACTTAATTTATACAACTCGGAATATTTTTTAAGACATGATATACATAAATAATAGTTTCAAAATGAATTAAAAATTAAACCTGGGCTTTTGTTATTAAGGCATTAAGCGAACTCATTTTCAAGATCAATAGTTAAGTTAATTTATTTTTGTCTATTCGGTCTTATACTCACATAAATCTTAATAAATGTAAAAATCATATAATTAAGTAAATAATTAACAGGAATTTACTATTATAATCGATGTAACTGTGATGTAATGTAATTTAAGAAATACCTTAGAGTCGGTCTGCTCGACTATTGCGACATCTATTTACTTTATTTAAATGAGAAACTAACGCTACAATTTCAGCTCCCGCTGCGCATTGTGGTCGCTTCCAGTTCACCTGCCATTCCGGCGAGTGTATCGCGGTTTACAATGCCTGTGATGGAATTCCCCAGTGCGAGGATGGGAGCGACGAGGGACCGGAAGTGAGTTGCCCTCCCACCAGCATTTCGCCCTTTGCAGCCGTTAATTGCCAACCTACTTTTCAGTGCATCACGGTATCGTCAACGGCCACAAAATCGGGCAATAGCGGCAGCAACTTGGAGACCGTGAAGCCCTTGGTTCAGCAATATATGCCTGTGCAGAACGTGCAGCAACAGTTGCAGGTCGTGGCCCAGCAGCAACAGCAGCAGCAACAACAACAGCAGCAGCAGCAACCACAACATGTCATTGTTTTGGGTCCACCACCTCCACCGCCGCCACCACCGCCCATGGTGAACAATCGCGAAGATGCCGCCGCCTGGGCAAACCGCAAGATGATTGCCGAAGGGCAGCAGCAGCAGCAGCAACAGCAAGAGCCATTGCCGCAGCAGCAGCAGCAGCAGCAGCAACAGCAGCAATTGCAACAGCAGCAGCAGCAGCAGGAGGCAGCGATCATAAATACCGGTAAATATAGTTAATAGGCTTAGGAAAATATTAACACAAAGAAGAAGGGTACAATTTTTCCAACTGAGCATAAGAAAATAAAAAAAGTTCTAAGTCGAAAACTGATCTCTTCACAAACAGCTTAGCAAGTTATTTACAAAGACTAAATTAATAAATGATAATATTTTCAAACCCTTCCTTGTAAAAAAATTTATTATGCCAAAAACATCAGGCAAACATTTTGCATTTAAAGTTTCAAGATACATCGTCAAAAAAAAAAACAAAAATTAAACATATATTTAAGTAAAAAGAGTTACGCCTTTCCTTCAACACCGTTCTTAAAACTTTTTTTTTTTAATTTGACCTACTTATTCTTTAAATAACTATAATTATAGTTCAAAGCACCGTTAAACTGAATTAAATTACCAAGGAAAAACCTCTTTAAGATAGCTGCAAAATACGAAAATATATTCTTTTCAATTATTTAATGGAACTACTTAATTAATGTACATACCTAGTGTAACAAAACTGTCTTTAAAGTTTAATATTTTTATGAAAGGCGGTATAATTTAAAACATATAAAACCCAGAGTTTCCCCTACCTCCCTTCTCTCCGAAAATAATCTTAAGTGACTGACTTCCGCTTTAGCACTCCCTTTGTTGTTTTTAATATTTAATTAAAGTCGATTGAATGTCCAGCAGCAATTAGGTGTAGTGAGAGAGACAGGGCAGACTGACAAAACTAAAAATTGAGTAAATATTTATAAGGGAAAAGAGTGGTCCCCGGAGGCACTGGCGCCCAGTGCGACATTAGCACACAAATTGGCGGCAGAGTGCACGCAATGATCCCACTGCCAGGGCCATCTCCCTTTTCACCTCAACCCAGGGCTTTTCTTCTGGGAAAATCGCAAATTGCCCATCAGTTTTCATTGTGTGAAATGGGAGCTGCCGTCGCTCGAAATTGATTTACGGATGTGCTGTATACTGTGTGCGTGCTGTGTCTCCGTCTACTCGCAATTAATTCAATTAGCTGTGCGTTAACTGGGAGACACACTACACACTCGGCTACTTCCCTGTGACGCTTACACACTTCCACGCTTCCACTCTCTTGCAGATGAGCAGAGCCACATCTTCAGCCACAAAGGCGGCCTCCAATTGCAGCAGCCTTCGAACGGCCAGGGGCAACTCCAGCAGGGACCGGCGACGGCGGTTCAGGTTCAGGGGCAATCAGCACCGCTCCAGTTGCCCGGCTACGACGGCAACCAGGCTGTGTACGGCATGTCGCTGCCACGGTCCGGAATTTATTTGTCACAGCAGCAACTCCCACCATCCGTCGGCCAGCAGCAGCAGCAGCCGCAGCAGCAGGTGCCCTCCAATGCGGTGTGGCCACCACAGACGCCTTTAGCCCCGCAGCAACAGTCGCCGGCGCAGCAGCAGCAGCAGCAGCAGCAACCATTGCTGGCACCGCAGCAACCTGGTCATGTCTATGCCCCTTCTTCGGCCATCCAATCGCCGCCAGCCCAGCAGCAATCCATGCTGCCTGTCCTTAATGCCGCACCCGCAATGGGAAAAAATCAGGGACCATCGGTGGACGGCGACTATGAGGATTACGACGAGGAAACCTACACAGAGGCGCCAAAGAAGGTGGGATAAAATAAGTTACTCATTAGATAACCTTTTCAAGCTAAATTCAAAAAGTCCCCCATACTTGGAATAAATTTGTAAAATACAAATTGACAAACAAGTTTTATTTTTATAATAAAAATCGAGGAATATTAAGGATTCAACGTCGTTTAACCTTTAGGGACTTTCTATGTTTCATATAAAAGCCATTGCACCAAAGAGCAATAATATTTTTAAATGCTTAGATTTTGGTAATTCCTCTTTTTAGTTTAAAAACTATGTGCATAATAATAATTTAATTAAAATTAAACCAAATTTAAATTTTTAAATTGAAAAATAAGTTGTATTTTCAGTTATTTTATCATTTCCGATTATATATGTCTCATACGAAGGCATTGCATCAGAGATTACTATAGACAATTTTTTTTTTTAATTTTTTTAACACAACATTTTTAATATTTTAAATTAAATAAAATTTTAATTTTGTATTTGAAAAAAAATATTTTTTTTCAGTTTTTGTATGATTTTTGATTTTTTATGATAAAATAAGATATAATATGTATATGAATATAAGTCTTTGCAAAATAGATAAGGAATATTTTTAGTTTTGATTTCTGTAACAGCGAAATCAGTTTAAAAAATATTAATATTCTATTTTTATACCCTTGCAGAGGGTATTATAACTTCAGTCAGAAGTTTGCAACGCAGTGAAGGAGACATCTCCGACCCTATAAAGTATATATATTCTTGATCAGCATCACTAGTAGAGTCGATCTAGCCATGTCCGTCTGTCCGTCCGTCTGTCCGTCTGTCCGTCCGTCTGTCCGTCTGTCCGTCCGTTTATATGCAAACTAGTCTCTCAGTTTTAAAGCTATCTGCATGAAACTTTCCCAAAAGTTGTCTTTCTATTGCAGGTAGTATATAAGTCGGAACGAGCCGGATCGGACGACTATAGCATATAGCTCCCATAGGAACAATCGGAAAAATAAATGAAAAAAATTATAACTTTGCTGTTTTTTAATTTTTTGTTTAGTTCTTCGACATATAGCAATGGTTAAATATTTCAGAATTATGGTTTAAATTTCATAAAAATCGGACGACTATAGCATATAGCTCCCATAGGAACAATCGGAAAAATAAATGAAAAAAAATTATAACTTTTCTGTTTTTTAATTTTTTGTTTAGTTCTTCGACATTTAGTAATGGTTAAATATTTTCGATTTACGGTTTAAATTTCATCAAAGTCGGACGACTATATCATATAGCTCCCATAGGAACAATAAAAATATATAAAATAACTATCAAATAATTGAGCTGCAAATCATCATAGCTTCAATGTTTTTAAACTTATACGCAAGTAAATTATAATTTTAATGTTTTCAAAAATGTTTAATTCTTGCAATAGCTGCAAGGGTATATGAACTTCGGCTTGCCGAAGTTTGCTTTCTTTCTTGTTGTTTTAAACTTTTATAAGAAATGAAGAATGTTTTATTTCGCAATTTTGTTTGACACAAATTAAAAAAAACTTTTATTTCAGCTTTCAATTTATTTTACATTAAATGTTTTTTATTAAAATTATTCAAAATCGTAATAAAATTTGGAAGAACAAAATTTATCGCGTATTCCGATTTTATATGAAATAAAGTTTTATTAATATTTCCTATTAAAGTAACTCCCTGCTTGGAAGTGACTTTCTTGAGAACATCTTACCAATAATAGCTTATAAATCCACAGAAGCAACACAAGCACAAGAAGGTCAAGGCGAAGACGGCCAAGGACCCCATTGAACTGGCCCTGGAGCAGAATAAGCAGCAGCAGGATGCAACGCGGCCAGTTCTGCCCGTGCCCGTGTCCCCAGTGCACGAGCAGTACAAGATGATCCACGAGAACCTGGCGATGGAGTTCCGTGACCACGACGGTCACTCCGAGCGTCCCGGCGGAGCAGTCCTCTCGCTGACCCTGGGCCTGCTGGTGACCGCCGCCCTGGCCATCCTCATCGGGTGCAGGATGCGGACGGTGAGCCGGAGGGCACGACGACTGGGCGGCAAGACGCCCTACTCCCAGGAGGCCGACTTCCTGGTCAATGGAATGTATCTTTAAGGCAGATGCCTGCTGGTTGGTGGGGACTTGCCAAGGTTCTTTGAGTTGTTCCATATATTTATGATTATAGTGTAATGAGAAACATATTTTATATAAACAAAGATGTATCAAATAAAATTAAAACTTAAAGTAACTACTTGACATTCATTTTTGGCAAGGATCGTGAGGAACCCGAATCGGTGAGCTAATTAAAGAGCCGCACAGATAATTTTGCAATATTTTTTTATTTAAGTTCGTTTCCATCCTCGATTTCAGTTTTTGTTTTGGTTACGAAAAAAACTTACAATTATCATTTATGAAATCTTGTTTTCCTCAGTTTTTTCATTGATGTGACACTGACTGTTTAGTCATTAAAACTACAAAATAGTAGGAAGTTGGTTTTTTCTTTATATCTTTGCTTTGTTTTTCCTTTATATATTAGCTTTATTCTCTTCATTGCCTTTGTTTAAAATAACAAATTTCGCTGTAATGGTGCTTTTCAATTTTCCATTTTCAAGTCTAAAATCAATATAATTCAATTGCTACTGAAAGTATTTGGCCAAAAAACAAATTTAAAACGCTTAAAAATATCACATTAAAAATTTAAACCGAATCCGATTTTATATATAAATAACACAAATTTATTTAATTTCGATTTGGAATTTGGAATAGGTTGTCTTAAGTTTTGTGTACATCGATTTTTTTCGTTTTTCGTTTACCACTGCACATTAAGTCTTTTGTTGATGAGAATTTTTCCTGATGTGGCCAGTTTTTGAATGAAAATCATCGTTTACGAAGTTTACTGCCCTGACATTGGTTGCATTTATGTATTATATATATTACGCATTAAAATAGGCTTTTCTCGTTACTCGTTTAGCTCCATTTTCACTTAACACTGTACACATATAATGTAAACTAATTGTATTTATATTTATTTATGCAGTTGAATAGTTCATAGTTCAATATGTCAATGTGCAATTTATGATGCAATTTTAAATCGAATGTGTTTCTCCCAATGTTTTCGGTTGCTAAGCGATCTAAAAACAAAACTTGTTTCCGAAAAATACAACTCAAGAAATCTCCAAATTTTTTACAACTGTTGTATTAACTCGACATAAATATAGGCTATAGAATTGGATCGACTGGCTGTTGGCGTTTGCTGTTCATGCTACGTGTACATGTTATGGTAGGTATTACTGTTAATTTATTAGTTATCGTATTTTAATATATATTTATAAAATAGACTTTCTCCTTTGCAAGATGCGAATTTTCGTTTCTGTTGTTGCAGTTTTCGGTTTGTGGTACATGTACGATGCCAGAATTTACGCATCATGTTGCGTACCTGAACGTAAAATAAAGGATAACGATTAGTAAAGATCGCAGCACATAATTCAGAGGGTACTACCGTTTTGTCCAAAGACGCGCAATTCGATCATGTTCCTCGCGATTCTGCAAATATTGCGTGGCAATGCTTCCCACCAGCGGATCGGCTGAAAAGAGATTAAAGTTAAACAAATTATTAAACTGAATTCAATTTTGTATTGTATTTTTATGTACTGCTATTTTTTATAAACCTCAGAAGTGAAATCGAAGTGAATTTGGTATTTAGCGAAGTTCTATTCGAAAATTTGGCTTACAGTATTTATTTAAGTTTTAGATTTACGCTTACGATTTATTTCGGTTTGTAGATTGGTACAATGAACATGTGAAATTTAAAAATGAAACTTTAAATGTATTTTGCGGACTAGTATTTAGTGTGGAAACCAAATAGAGTGCTTCAAAAATTTATACGAAACAAATTCCAACCGAATTCCTAAAGCCTTGTTTTAATTTAAGATTTTTTAAAATAAAATCTTAAATCTGGAACCTGATCTCAGTATCTAGGGTCTTTCTATCAATTATGAGCCTAGTTATTTAGATGAATTCTAATATTGGATAAAGATTAAGAAAGTAAAGCTGAGAAGCCGACCAACAAATAACCAATCTTAATTCTACTTCCGCAGGCCTCTGCTTGGCAGTCCTCACCTGGATTACAGTCTGTGAGCAGGGAGCAAATTGACAGCAAGACCTTTGATATGGTCAGCGCCGGCGACCAGTTGTCCTTGAGTATGTCCAGGCAGATGACGCCCTGGCTGTTGATGTTGCAGTGATAGATGCGCGTGCGGAACGTGACTTTGGGCGGCTTGAAGGGGTATTCCGGCGAGAAGTGTATGTCGAGGAAGAAGACGCCGCCCTCGTAGACGGACCCGGGTGGTCCCAATATGGTGGATACCCACTCGTACAGGTTGTCGCCCTTGGGCCCGGCACTGCAGTTGGGCGGTGGGTCCAGTGTGATCTCCGCCAGCTCCTTCTGGATGCGCTTGGCCGAGGTGCCCAGGGCCTTGGATATCCTGGGCGTTGGCTTGGTGTCCTTGCGCGGCTCATCGCCGCCGGCGGCATTGCTGCCGGAGGCTCCACCGTTGGCGTTGCTGCCCCTGCCGCCACGTGCCTGTGGCGTTCCGGCGGACGCGGGCTGGCTGGGATTGCTCACATTGGTGACCGTCGTGCTGGGCGCGCTGGGAACATTCGAGGTGGCACTGGATGTGGCCACCTCGGTGGCACTGCCCGCTGCTGGGGTTGAAGACATGTCTGGCCGGGGTGGTTTGAGCTGTAAGGACCAGATTGAAAGGTTAGACTATTTTGTAAGGTACGTCATTGAATTGCAACCGACTATAAATGGCAAAATGGACAATCATTCATTCGAATTTTGTATACGTCTCCAAAAGGCAGAACTCAAGGTAATCGTAATATATATATAATACCATCCTATCACTACATGCAATAACAATGAAGAAAGTCAGAACTATTAGATATTTTACGATCCGTTGGCTTAAAACGATTTTTAAATTTATAGATGTCCCAGATTTTGTAGTTCTATGTGTTTTTAAGTACAACTATACATTTTTAAACGTCTTGTGAATAACAATATTGATGAGGGATGATTGAGGGATGTCAGAAAAAAACGTTTCTAAAATTCGTAGAATACTTGTAGTTCTTTGCTTTTTTGAAGTAAATTTGCTTGGAATAATTCAGAAATATTTATTTTAAAACATACTTTAAGAATATATTCAAATAAAAGATTTCTGGAACACCCCCGTTTGTTTTGAATGTCCATTCGTTCATTACGAAAAGCCTTGTGTCCTGCACAATTTGCAGAATTTGAAAATAGGTGCCAGTGGAATTCCGCCATTGAAAGCTGGTCTGGGCCAGGCTTTCGCCCGGGTCCTTGACCTGGTTTTCCACCCAGTTTTTGCCTGTTTTCGAGGGCAGGGGTTTGCAATTTCGCACAAACGCACACATTTCTATTGAGCAGCGGCAGCGGCCATTTTGGCAAAAAGGGAAAGGGGCATTTTCGAGGGATTTCAGGGCCCCCTAGTACCGGACACTATATCAGAACAAGATCCAATGATAGTTCCTCAGCAGTTGGCCAAACAACTCGGAACCGCATGTGCTGCATGCGGCAAAAAATCAATCAGCAGACATTTGCAAAATGCCGCCGCCGACTGAGGATGATGATGGTGGTAATGATGCCGCTGCTTCCGGCGCCTGCACTTAGATTGCACAATTTCGCGGAACTTGAATGGCGATAAAGCGGAGGTCCCCTCAAAACACACAATACACACCTCACTATCGCAGTTTCTTTCACTTTTTTCTATCACAACACTTGCGAAAATGATCCGCTCGCCTCTGTAGCCGTCGCCTGCTGCCCTCTCGCTCGCACTCGTGAGCACACGGCCTTCGCTGTGGGTGCAAGGCTGTTCTGATGGCGTCCACGGTGGGTGGCAGTATGAGCGGATCAGGTCCTGCACTTTTCACCTTTCCGGACTTTATTATTTGGCTAAAATTACGGTTGGCAAAGACGAGGAGACGCAGAGCCGTCTTTATCTTTGTTAGAAACTCGATAATTTGTACGTTTGTAGGCAGCTATCGGTCCGGGTCCGTCTCTAGCTGCTGGCGGACCAACTCATCTCTAGAAAAATATCGATAAGCAGGGCTCTGGCAGCTCTGCGCGCCCTTTGTTGCGGTCTGGCAGCTCTATGGTTTTAAAAATAATTAAAACTAATACTTTTTTTTAAATCGGACGTTTATATCGTAAAACTGCTACAAAAATTAGGTAGGCAAAAAAGAAACATATTTTTTTCAGCTCAACGGCTAAGTTAACAGGCGCTGACCAAAGTTTACTTACCATTTGTTTCTAGATCTGAACACATAAAGTTTCATTAAAATGTTTACTTTAAACCTATCTTGTATTTATAAAAGTTTACAAAATGTAGGATTACTTCGTCTCCATATCTTCTGTTAACGCTTTACGGGATTTGAATACGCGCACCGTGTTGTCGGCGCCGCCGGAGACGATGTACTTGGGATTCGACCAATCGATGTCCAGGACCTTGTCGCCGTGGCCCAGGAGGTCGTACAGTGGGGCCTTGGGACTTCTGCAATCCCACAACTTGTTCTGGTTGTCATAAGCGCCGGAGACGAAGAGGAACTCCTCGGTGTTGGACCACATGACGCTTTGCACCCAGGCATTGTGTCCCAGATAGGTGTTTCGCACCACAGATCCCTCTGAAAGAGAAAATTTAAATCGGTTAAGACCATGTCAAATGCTTATTTTTGGGTGATGTGATCCTACGGTTTGTCCTGGCATCGTAGAGCCTCAGATTTTTGTCCGCCGAGGCCGTCAGTATCAGGCGGTTGAGCCTTGAGTAGCTGGCATCGAAGATGGACTTGTTGGTGGATATTTCGGTCTTGATGCCCTCGAGGCTCAGATCCCACACCTTAAGCGTGTGATCCCAGCTGCCAGTGAGCAGAGTGCTGGCATCCATCCATTGCACAGCGGATATACTCTCCCGATGTCCCTGCAGCGTCATTTTGGGCGTCTGTAGGGGAAGGTAAAGAAGTGATTATATATTATTTTCACAGATGAGAATGGTAACCCACCCGCACACCGCTCTCCTTCATCCGCTTGGAGGTGCCCTCGACGGCATCGTCCACCTCCGCTGACCACACCTTCAGCATGGTGTCCCACGCGCCTGTGGCGAATCGCTGGCCATCCGGACTCACGCTGACGCTATCGACGCCTCGCTCGTGGCCCTTGCACACGGAGACGCACTCCACCGAGTTGGAGGCCACGCTCCACTGCCACAGCATGGCTGTCTGATCCTGCGAGGTGGACACAAAGCGACCGGTCTCCTCGTCCAGCGAAATCCAGTCCACCGCCTTGATGGGCGCCGTGTGGCCGGGAATAGTGAGGATGTGCTTGCCCTTGTTGGTCCACAGGTTCAGGGTGTTGTCATAGCAGCCGCTAAGAATCCACTTGCCGCTGGCCTTCACCGCCGACACCCAGTCGTCGTGGAGCAGACAATCCTGGGGCTCCGGCGCCGGGAACCGCTCCACATACTCGATCTCGATGGCGTCCTCGAAGCTGATGGCCTTCTCGCGCAGGTGATCGCACAGACGGCCGCGCAGGTACTCGTCGAACACCAGGAAATCAAAGTCGGTGTCGCTGGAGGAGGAGCCATCCTTCTGTTTCAGCAAGGCGTTCACGAATGTGTTCAGCTCCGCGGTGGTGACGGTTCCATCGATGGCATACGGCACATCCGGCACGGCATAGCTGAAAGTGGGATCTTGAGTTAATCGATTCCATGCAAGGCCGTTTTATGATGGACACCCACTGCTCCTGCTTGGTCTTCAGATGCACCTGCACCTGCCCCTCGCCGTTTTCCGCATCCATCTCCTGGCCCACGTGCGTTTTCCTTGCGGCACTTGATTGGACTGTGGGTTGGCGTTATTCCGCGGGTATGCAGCTTTTGGACACTGAACTCCTGTTGGTTGGAGGAGCAATTGACCACTTAACTCGTTGTTCTTCCTACGGCAGTCTGTTGAATTCAGGTAAATTGAGAAAAAGCGTGTTTTCAAACGAAACGATGGTAGAAGCAACAAATACAACAAAAAGCACTAAAAATGGCCAAAGCGCATGCCGTCGACTGTGTTATCGCCGACTTTGCGATGTGCATGTTAATCGAGTGTGCTATCGATTCATTATCGCAAAACGGTTATTTGAATTTTAAATGTTTAAGTACTCACAGTAATTTTGTATAAAGTGAGCATTTTCTTATTTATTTTGAAAATACATTTTTAAATTTTATAAAAATATGACGATTATTTTATATTGTTATTATTCTATTATCAATAAAGAAACTGTTAAATTATATGATAATTATCAATCTGCTTTTAATTAAAGTATCAGGTTTTTGTTGATTAAAAAAGAAAATTACCGTAATCTCTCAATTCCGATCTAATTTAATAAAAAAGCAAAATTAATTTAAACAGAGTATACAACTTTATGAAAAGTTTGATTGGCTTTATTGACCAATACATTTTTCTTTACACATGTATATGTTAAATGTTTTATAATACCACTATGATTATGAACATCGACTTATCGAAGCTTAATTTCTTTTTTTTCCAAACCATTCGAATCAAAAGGGGGCTTTTGGGTAGGGACGGGTGTAGAAGAACACATTTTCTATTCTCTATAAAATCCTCTCAGCCCGACGCCACTGACTTTTTAATTACAGCAAAAATAATCATTTAAAAAGATACGAGCCAAATTCGCAATATTGATAATTAAATATTTTTTGCAAGCAAATCAGGCGCTGATGATTTGCTGTAATTCGGCTTCTCTCTCTCTCTCTCTCTCTCTTCAGTTTCGGTCCGTCTTACGCAAAACGGAAAAATAAAAAACGAGCCGCCGTGGCTGCAATTTGTAAATGACTCTTCACTCCTCAAAGACTGGTAATTGTTAATGTTTTCATGCTGGCTATTAATATGAACCAGATAGCACCTGAAAGACCACTTCGTGGTGGAGCGTGCACTGGAAGGTTAAATGCCACTTGACATTTCTGAGATGGCGCTTAACCTTCGCATTAAAATTGGACAAATGCCCAAGAAAATATATCCAATAAAAAACGTATTTACCTTAATGGGTCGATGGGATATTAAGCTGGAAGTAATAACACTTTTGTTGTACTACTTTTTTTTGTGCAAAACTTTTGCTGCTGCTACTGGGGGGCTTTACAAAAAACCAGAAACGAAGCGAAATGAAAGAGCTGAAGCTTTCCAGATTTTCGGGGCTTCCAGCGGCTCAGAGCTCAGCTTATAAAACGGGCTTTACGCCTGCCAAGCCGAGTTATTACAACAAACGACGCGCGTCAGGTAAGACACTATCCGAATTCGATTCGATTTGTTTGTTTGCCTGTCACGGGAGCGTACTCAATCCGGGAATCTTTTGCAGCCTAGAAACCAAACAAACAAACCACATACTCACAAAATGAAAGTGTTCGCGCTGTGCTCCATGCTCGCCCTCCTCCTGGCCGGATCCGCTCAATCCCTGCCCCAGAGCCGCGAGGGAGCCGCCTACACGAACGAGGCCATCCGACAGGCCCAGCAGACGCTGCTCATACCCAAGGATGCCCAGATCCAGAACGTCCAGGAGGGCATCGAGCTGGGCGCCTACGAGCAGATACCCGGCAACCAGCGCATCAATCTCTTCGAGATCCTGGGCGACCAGGTGCCCTCCGAGGTGATAAACAATCTGCAGTCCCAGGTCGACCAGATCGGTCGCAACTAATCCGTTGGATTACTGCCCCCTCGTCATTGCATTTCGCCCTCATTGTTAAGTTTCTCAGTAATAAATGAAAACATTGCCCGTATTTAATCGAAGCGTTTCTGTCTCTTGCCAAAAAAAAAAAAAATTAAATAAATAAAAGCGAAAGTGATCCTCCCCGAAAACCAGTTGGATGATTCCTCCACGGCAAACTCTCGATCGAAAAGAGTGATTTATTGGACTTTTTGTGGCTTTTTCCTAATACTCTTCGGACACTTTCTCCTCGCTGATCCCGCTGCGCATACGAATTAACAATGAAAGATACCGATGGTATGGGTATGGTATGGTGTGGTAGGATACCACCACAACCTTGTTATATAAGTCGGGGGATGGGGATTGTGATTGTGCATTACGGTTCAATTCGACCAAGTCGAGTGGATGGTAACCCGAGACCAAGAGGTTGCCCCGCCGGCAACTTTTGTGTTTGTTGTGTTTTGCCGTCGTGATGCAACAGTTGTCTTCGTCGTGATTGTTTTCCTCAGCCATTGCTTGGCTGGGCTTCGGTTTGTTTATTTAATTTCTGGTAATTGCCGCCACATCCACTTGCATGTGTAATGAGGTATTGGTGTCCGAAAGGGGGCGTGGCATGCCCGCAGGGAGCCGCTGATTGCATAACATCTGGGTAGGCCCGATGATCGAAGGGCTTTGCGATCTACCCACCTTAAGGGGGAAGTAGGGTTAGTTGGTATAAAAAAGGCAAATTGTTGCGATTTTTTCTTTGACAGAAATGGATATTATTAGTATGCAATGGCACATAAGTATGACGTTTAAATAATATTCTCTTAACTGTTAATGAAGAAATATAAAATAATTAATCTAGAGCATCTAGGAAAAATGTTAAACTCGGTAAGAATGTTTTGTTCCTTGTTCAGTCACTATTTTTTAAATGAAAGAAGGTTAATTATATGATTTATATTTATATTTATATTTGGTTTTTTCTAGAGGATTTAGTGTTACTTAATTTAAAAGTTTCGAAAAAAAAAGTTTCAATAAATTTGTTTCCTTTTTTAACAATCCAACAAGACTATTGCACGTTCAACCAAAAAACTATATCAATTTTTTTTTCGTGTAATTAAATAAACATTTTCAAATGTTCTGACTCCACCCGCTTTACCAAAGTACTTAAGCTTGCCGAATGAGACAATTTAATATTTTTAAATATATTCCAAGGGCTTAAATTTCAGAATCTATTAATATGTATATACCCTGAAATCGTATTACCTTTGCAATAACTTACCTGTATTTTAAACCAATTTTAAACACACTGTTTCATTATCATTTTCCCAAGACCCCTTAAAAATACGTACTCGTGTTTTAGAATTACCTCATTTTTATTTGATAGTTCATACATTTTAAAACGAGCTTCAATCTAAATTTACGCTAGTTAAAGTAAGTTCATAATATAGTTTACTTTATCTCAAAAAATCTGTGTGGTTGTGTGTGTGTGTGTGTGTGTGAGTGATAGTGTGCACGATCATCGCCTAAATAAATTATGTTCATATAGGTAATTATTTATTTTATGAACTAACTAAAGAATGACTGCGTTTTTATTTTGACACTTTTCTACTTTCGTTAGTTCTTAAATTCAGGCGAGCTCTGGAAGTCCTTCTTGGGAAGGAGGTCCTTATCCTAGCTCTTCAATTCGATAATCATCGACTCAATGTCAAGTTAAAATTATTTTAAATTTTATATAAATAATGGTTAAAGTAGGAGTAACTGTAAATTGCTTTAAATTAAAACTTTGCCATATTCAGTCTAAACTTAAAAGCTTTTCAAATCAAAGAGGACTATAAGTTTGCCATTACATTTCAAATTGAACCATCGCGTTTTGGGATCGATTCACTTTACTACCTCTTGCCCTTTTCAAATCATTCACATTTCGTTATGAAATAAATTACAAATTAAATAAAATCATGATGCGATAAAACAAGTTAAAAATTTCTCCTTCTCGTATGTGGTTGCGACTTATTCGATGAATTTCGATTGTGGGCGTGGCAATGGTTGATTGTTGAATGTCTCTTATATGTGCACTTAGGTCGCTACGTATAAATAAGAAATATAACTAAGCAATGTGGATTGCCTTCGGATGATGAAACATTTCGTTATTGCATTTGGGGAGCCCAGCTTTGCTAATCATAATAGGTTAATGGTTAAAGGTTAATCGTAAATGGTTAGTAAATCGTTCGTTTATAAATTCAGAGGGTCTATGCATGCAGTCTATGGAAATGATAAATCTTCAAAGGATACATATACATATACATATACATATACATATAGATATGCTCCTCCTGAACCCCTTTATCTGGCTACTTAAACCTAACACTTTGCTCACTTGAATGCTTGGATTTTCGTTGCTTCTCCAGCTACTAGGCCTTACGGTGTATGTATATACAATAAAGGGTTTGATCTTCCAAGTGAACCGAGACCTTTCAGTAGATCCTCTGCAGATACAGACGTCCCAGTGGCTGGGGCCGCTCCACGAAGCTCTTCTCGGCCCGCGCCGCCGACTTGTCCTGGCCACCAGTCTTGGCCACCTGCTGCTCCTGTTCCTGACTCTCGTCCAGCTTGAGGCTCTCGGCATCGGCCTTGGGATCTGCACCGCCCACTTGGCCCGCCCCCGAGCCCAGCTCGTCGATCTCTAGGGTGGATACTCGGGTGGATTTGGGCGTAATCGGTTCCCTGACCTCCCCGCTGCCCAGCTCCAGCTCCAGCTCCTCGCCCGGCTGGCTGATCCTCTCCGGCTGCAGATCGCTGCCGTTCTGGATGCGCGTCTCTCCGGATGTGTCCTCGCCACTGTACATCAGCAGCGGCACCATCAAACTCTTCTCCCGCACGGACGATTCGGCCGCCATCATGGCCTCCTCAGTGGTGGAGGTCTTCTCCTGGTAGAGATCCAGATCCCCGCCGCCACTGCCACTGCCACTGCCGTCCAGGTTCGTGTCGGGCGTGAGCTTCACATGCCTGTGGTCCACCTCAAAGGGACTGGGAATGCTGCGCGGCTCGTCCTTCTCCGACTCGGCTATGTCCTCCAGCTCCACGAGCGGAAAGTTCACATCCCGCAGACTGAAGTCGTCTTCGGGCAGCGAAGGGTAGGCCGGATTGGACTCCACCTGGGGCACGTCGTCCTCCACGTCCATGTGGTGTTGGGTGGAGCTGGGCGGCGGCATCTCACTGCCCGCTGATACCGCACCCTCTGTACTGATTTCATTCTCCGATTTGGTAGTGTTGTTGGTCATGGTGGATGGTGGCGTAGTGGCTGGGGCATCAGTGGTGACCCTTTTGATGGCTCCTGCTCCTGGTCCCTCTGTCGTCGATATAATGTGGTAGATGTTGTCACTGCCCGCCGTATCGGGTTCGAGTTCTCCGTCGGAAGGCTCCACCAACGAGTCCCTAAAGCCATTCTGGATGAACAGAGGCAGAGGTTCCTCAGAGCTCTTGATACTCGAACCCTCGGTGGTGTACTCCCGCTTGATGTTCACCTTGCTGGGATCGCTCCCGGCCAGCGGCTGCAATGCCTCCGAGTTGTAGGTAACCAGCGGCTTCACCTGTTGCTCCATCACGTTGCTGCTGCTGCCGCTGCTGCTGCTGCTGCTCGGGGAAAGGGGCCGCTCGATGTAGCCCACCGAGGCGATGAGCTTTAAGCTCTCGCTGCCGCCTGGAAGTGCTTTGGGGTTGCTGTCTCGGCTGGGCGTTGGTGTTGCTGCCGTGTCCGTTGGTGTTGCTGCTGGCACCGGCGATGTTGCTGCTGCTGCTGACGGAGTGCTGCTGGTGGCCGGCATTGCTGTTGTAGCCGCTGTTGTGACTGCTGTTGCTCCTGTTGCTGTGCTGATCTCCATCGAACTGGCTGCTCCTTCGGTGGTGGGCATCAAACTGCTCGGCTTGCGGGTGGGAATCGACGGCTTGGCCCTGTTGTCATCGGTTATCCGGATCTCCGTCGGCTTGGTTATCTCCTTGATGGTGATGTTCCAGTTGAATCCGGCCGGCTGAGCCACGGCCACCGGCTTCTGGGTGGAGGTGGTGGTGGAGCTGCCCAAGGGTTCGCTGGCCAGCGGCGGGTTGTTGTCAAGAACTGGGGGTTGGAGGAGGGCTGGGATTAGTGACCACTCGGTGGATCCGCCCGCACACAAATGAAAAACTCACTCGGACAGTTGTCGTACTCCGGACAACAGCGACCGGGCACGTATTTGGGCAGGCAGTCGTCACGGCGGAAGCAGGTCACCGAGCTGCAAACAATCTCGCCGCCTGCAACAAATGGAGTGTGTTTAAACGAAAGTGTTTGGGCAACAGCGCAAAATACAGCAAAAATATGTGAAAAACTCATTCTAACATTTACTACACATCAAAATAATGTTGGCATTCGGAAATCAAATTAAAAGTGCTTTATTGAAAATTTAAACGTAGAGCTAATGCCAAATAACAAATATGGAACGATATTTTACTTGGTACTTGTAAAATCTCAATTACAATTATTTTTGTTCAATTTTTTCGAAAAACTCAACAAATTGTTTGAATAATAATATTTTATATTTACAAAAATATTTCATTTATTTGCTACAATGCATTTAGCAAGAGTGTTTATAAAATTTGTAATTTTAAGTATGTAAGAAAGCAATTTAACAGTACATTTCATTTAAGAGAAATATGTTCTTAAATCAATGGTGAGTTACGGTGAAATTTAATTTAAATTTGCATTTATTAAATCAATTCCGAAAACAATTTAATGAAAAATTAAAAAAATTAAATATTTTCTTATTTGAAGTTACTGAAAATGTATGAATATCGAAGCAAAACATATTTAAATTACTTAAATTTTAGTACTTCTGGTTGGTGTCTTTTTTTTTAAATACAATTTTATTGAAGAAAATGTCCCTTTGCAATAAACTATGTATTTTAAAGTTAGCTTTGATTTCTTTCAGTTCGCAGCCAATTTTGAAGCCAAACAGTATGCACTCACCTTTGCAATAGCACACGGTGCACGGCGTGTCCGGATCAACCAATTTATAACCATTGGCATAAGTTTTGCCATCCTTCTCGCAATCTGGTTTGGTGGGAAGAAGCGGGAGATTTGCATAAATGCATCCGAGAGGCTATTTTTCCGCGAACAGTGTTCACTTACCGCATTTATAATCGGGGCAGCAGTGGCCAGTGCGCTGGATGGCCCGACAGCTTGTTTGGTACTCGCAACGGGCATGGGACTCGGCCACCCAGATCCCGTCCAGCAGGCATTGGCCTATAAACAATTTGAAACGGTGGCCCATTGTTAGTCATTTAGTTTTGGGAGCGGGTGTGGCATGGCGGGATTATTTTTTTGGCTCTTACCCTGCGGCTGTTGCTGTTCCGGGGAAGCCGAAACCGAGGTCGGGGACTCCGTGGTGCCGCCTGGGAGGCCGTAGGATCCGGCACTTCCGCCGCTCGAGCTGCTCGGAGTCGGAGGAGTGCTCGGCGTGACCGCGACCATGACGAGTGTGGAGGATACGCTGCTGCTTTCAATGGCGGGCACTGCAAAAAAGGAGAAAGCACGAGTGTGAAATAGGAGAAAGCAGATAGTCAACAAAGGCCATGGCGAGGAATACTGCACAGGCAGAAAAAAACAACTGCCAGGAGAAGCCATAAAAAAGGGTGCCATTTTAAGGCGCAGATTTCCACAAGGTCCACGCAGATTTAGTTGGCTTAAAATCGTTTTGATTTGACGCAAATCTCTTAATTCAGTAACTGCCACAAAAAAGGTGGTAGAAAAAAACGAGTGCACAAAGGTGTAAGGTTTCACCTAGATAAGAAAAAATTTGTCAAACTTGAAAGAAGGCTAGATAAACAAACGAAAACGAAAACCGTTATTAAAACAAACGCATTTAATGTTAAGCAATTATAGAACATAGCAAAAGAACAACCAAGATATTTTCTAATAACTACAAATAATTTAGCTCTCTCTTGAAATAATTTTTTAAATAAAAATAAGCCAGAATTGTTAATGACATACATTTGTATTTATTATCATTAAGCCAAGAAACATTATAGTAATATTATAAATAAATTCATATATTCAGCTCTCTGAATCACCCAAGTTAAGGCGAACAGAAATACACTATTTATTATTTTTTTAATGAATAATAAATAAATGTAATTTATGAAAATTTTTGGCAGGCATTTAAAGTGAAATTTCAATTTAATTAAAGTCTCTGTTTTGTAACCCATTAACAATTTTAACTGACTAACTTATCACTTAACTAATTAACTAATTATTTTTTTTGATACTGTAGAAAACCCACATAAAATTAATTTATTTTTAGATTTTATAAAATTTGTATAATTATATTCTTGATTCTTTAAAGTTTGAAATCAGATTGCATTATTTATTTTAAAAGACTTCTTTTTAAAGTGAAAATTATAGAGTTGTTAATGTTTCTGTTTAATTTAATATACATCTTTTAATGGCTAAAGTTAAGTCATTTTTATTATAATTTCATTAATACCAGACCCAACAGACTTTAATACTTGGGGAAGTGTTTCTTGTGATTGAGGATGCTAAAGATAATTGTAATTCAAGGCTAAGTGGCTTGCGCAAAGCTGTCCTGAATCTTCCTTTAATGAAATTAAAATGTAAATTGCCTTCATGCTTTAATTTACAAATGTAAGTTGATTATGTATTTTTTATTTTGGATTTTTGCAGAGTGTATTCAGAAGCAAAAAGGGACCATAAAGTGGAGGTGGGGGGGAACGAGCAGATGCCCTCTGTCCCCTTGTCACTGGGTACATATTTGAATGAATGACATTTTGATAACAGTTGTTTGTTGTTCCTGTTGCTGCTGCTGCTGCTTCTGCTCCTGATTCTGATTCTGCTGCTGCTGCTGGGCAAGGTAAAATGCTATCAAAATACGGCAAAGTTAAATGAGTTTAGTTTTAGTTTGGCTTTTTGTTTGCCCCGTTTGAGGCGACTCCCAATTGGCAAGCCGAAACGAAACGAAACGAGGAGAAGCACAAGATGGAGTGGCATCCGCTTTGTCTACGCTCGTTGATTGTCCAGTTGGCGTATAATTCCGATTGACAAGCCTGCTACCAAACGAACTCATTTTCCATTTGCCCCTAGAATTGTCGTTCTTTAAGGTCTTGTGTTGGCAACCCAATCTTTTGAGCTCGGTTCTTGTCTTGTCATTTGGCATGAAAAATGATTAAATATGTGCGAGCATTAATCATACGCCCAGTGGTTCGGTTTTATTGTGCCTGCGCTGGCCATCCTTTATTTTGAGTCTAGAGTCCCCTTCATAAACTGGGACCTATCTACGTACATCCCACGCTAAATTGTTTTTCCTAGCGCTCATTAAGCGAACTGCATATGCTGCTCACTTTTCCCTTTTTCCTTTCGGACAAAAAGGGGAACTTGTTTAGATTTATCTTCCTGTTTATATAGGGGGAATAAAGTGTCCAGAATTGATTAAATTTAAAAGTTTATTTTATTATGTTGGGTTAAAATATTTTATGTTGTCTCAGTTCAGAACTATTCTAACTGAACACTTGTTTTTAATTGTATGATAATTTGTATTTTTAATTTCGTTTTAAAAACAATATTTTCCTTTTTAAGCGTTTAGGTTTGATTGATATTTTCAAGTGCTAAGATGCCAAATTATTATATTATTCCGATAGTGGTATACACCACCTCAGCTTAAATTTTCCTATAGTACAACTACTCCTAATTTTAGCCTTAAGTATATTTCTCATTAAAGTCCCCTGCATTATCTTCATAAGACTAAGCGTTTACCAGCTGAGCCTCATATCACTGCATCGCACTTAGCTAAGTATTCTGAAATCATTTTACCGTCTACGACTTTCGCTTAGCCTTTTTAAGCATTTTGCTTGTTGCTCGTTATGCAATGCACAGACACACATGGATGAAATCCGAAACGCTGCAATTAGTAGAACAGCTTCCCGTTTTGCGCTCTGTTTTCATTTTTGCATTGTGGATGACAGCGCTAATTCCGCGACTTTCCATTGTCTCTGGGTCTTCGGGTTTTTTTTTTGTTTTTTTTTTTGTTTGGGCTACCAGTAATTTTTGGCTGGCCAACACGTTTCAAATGAGCAAAATTATTATACACATTATGTGGAGCAGTCGGAGGACGGATGACATTTGTCTGGGACTCAAGTAACACGATTCGGTCAGATTACGTATACGCCGAGAGATCTTATTTTAGATTTTCCCGTCAGCATCTTCGCTTGCTTTATCCCACTCCCTCTCGATGCTTAAATTCTGTGAGCCGCTGAGTCTGTTTTTCTTTTTGTTTTTGTCTCGGCCGACTGACAATAAATTGTTCCCTGCGAAATTGCATTGTAAATTAGCTTTTGATTGTTTTCCGCAAGACAGAAAGTTATTATGCAAATGTCAGTAAATGTGACGCGATTTGCCGCTGCAGTGGCTGCTGATTCATACCCATAAATGTCATTGATTCTAAATTAATGTTGGTTTTATTTTGTCGTGATAAATGATAAGCACAATTCCGGGCAATTGTTATAAACAAGCTGGCAAACAACCCATCGAAATGTTTCGAGAAAAGGGGCCTAGAATGACTTTCAGTGCCAGGGGCGTAGGAAAATCGGATAACAAGGAGACTGGATTGTAAACACCCCCACTTTCAGGCTGGATATTATCAGCTAAATACCCATTAAAGGCACTGCCAGTTGGGCAAATTTTTGACAGCCTCCCCCACGAAACCACACCACTGCACCGCACTATTAATAATACTTAACACCATTGATAAATACGGCCGGCTATAAACGCCTAAGGCCGAAACCAACAGCAACGACAAATCATGCCAAAGTCGAGCCAAGGACCGTGGAAATTGCGGAAAATTGTCTGGCCGCCGCTGCCGTCGCCTACACTTCATAAACTACTCAACTTCAGCCCGGCCCAGAAAATGTTTTTCATCATTATTACATTTCCAGCAAGTGGCTTTCTTTCCGGCGCATTGCCGAGCTGAATTTCCGCCGAGCGTTTAAATCGTTGCGGGGGTCGGATTATCTGGTCGCTCCTTCAGTTTTCCCAAGCAGTTTGCGGTTAGTTAGTCAGAAAATGTGTTAGTTTGACACGACTTCTGCTCGGCCAAATGCAATAAAGGAATTCCTCGCCCATGAATTGTGAGTGTAATTGCTATTTTATCGGAGTTGAGTTGTTCAAGTCTACAAGCCTTGAAATAATCGGGGATGTAAAGGGAAGAGTTGTAATAAGAATTATAAATTGGGAAGGAGAATAATTGCAGGAGGGATATAGGTGAGATGTACATACGAATTAATGAATAAGAAGTTATGTGCAAGTTAAAAATTCCATGTTCAAAAACTTTTCTTTTACTAAAATAACGTCATGGTTGTGCTGTGAAGATTTTAGATGAAAATCAAAACTGGGACCATCTCTTATTGCTAAAATAATAATTTATAAAATCTGTCTTCGGTTATAATGGATACATGGATAATTCTATGATTTGAATTGTTGTAATATAAGTTGAAGAGCTGTAGACCTTTTTCACCAGTTAGAAAAATATATATAAATGTGTAATATTAGTTTAATTGTTGTATAAAACTATTTTAACTGGCTACTAAAAATTGTTTATATATATAATAAATATATATATATATTGAAGACGATTTAAAAATGTATTTTATTAATATAATTTGCTGTCATTAATCATAGGAGAGGAAAGCGAATTAAAATATACACTTTTAAATAGATAGGTTGCCGTGAAACTTCAAAATTTGTGAAAAAAGTAGAGAATAGCAAAAAATTATGTTTTCAATGCTCTAACACATTACATTCAGAATTCCCGAATTCAAAATGTCGCCAACAATAAATTTTCTTACTATTAGTTATACCTCTTTAGCTTGCCAGTTTGCTAAATAGATTTGTTTGACATCATATGAATTAGGTCTTGCATAACTTCGAAGCTTGAATGAGACGTAATTGCTGAATTGAAAGAATACAACGTTTGTCAGTGTTAAATGCTTAGAAAAATGTTGTTGGCAATGCGATCTTAGCATGCATGTCAAACTAAACTCCAAATTGGTAACAAGAATATGCCGTCATGCTTGTAGACAGCTTTTTAAGCCCATACCCCCATGATGATTCCATTGTTTCCAAGGGGAATTTCAGCGGAAACCGAGAAACCAGCGGCGCGTAAGTCAGGCAGTTGTGAATGCGATTTCAAATTGATGCTTAAATGGCATTCAAAACGAAAGCAAAAACAATGAAAAACAATCAAAAAACGGCGGACGACTGATGGGGCAGACGGACAAATGACAACAAATGACAACAAATGAGCTTTTTGAGTGTTCTGAACTTGTTGTTGCACTTGTCGTCGTTCTGGACAAAGATGATAAATGAGGTGGCCCGAAAGGCGGCGCGAGCGGAGACTTTTGTCTCAAAAGCCGCAGAAAACACAAACTCATCGACCGACAAAAAACCACAGAAAACAAATTATACGGTTTAATGGCAGGTGATATGCGCGAAGCGAAATACGCTG